CTAAACAGCACATATCAGCATGGGGGGTCTAAACAGTACATATCAGCATGGGGGGTCTAAACAGCACATATCAGCGATGGGCGGGTCTAAACAGTACATATCAGCATGGGCGGGTCTAAATGCCTCACACCAGGAAGGCAACAGTTGCACCGAGTCCTCACATACCCCCCAATAGCGTTCCCCGTGCTGAGCGGGCCTTGGAAACAGGGGACTCTCAGGTGCGTGCAATCTTTCCCACCGCTCTCCATTTTCCCTCATCACCCAGCTCTGTAATGGACATTGCAACTGCAAACGTTGTTTACATTAACTAAAACAAAGGGACAGCGTGCTCCCGTGGTTTCCAACAATGTCGAACCGTAAGCCGCTTACAAAAACAGGCACGATGAGAAACATTCTGTACGGTTTATGTTGTGTTGTCCGAGTACATTTATTTCGTCGCACCCTCAACGGGGCGATGAGAGTGGATGTAAAATACCGTAAAATACGTAAATGGCCGTAAAATACCGTAAATACCGGAAGTGGTAAATACCGCCAGTGACAGCTTTTTGCTTGAGTTCGTGACGTTTAGCCAAGGATCAAGTGAATGAAAATTTTGGAGGATCAGGCATGCGAGCATCAGTTACGTGTGAAAAGTATATGAAGCTGGGTCATTCTGTGACTTCTGTGGTATTTTATATTTCTCAGGGTCTGTGCTTCCTCTGCAAATTTACACGTTTCGTGTGCTTCAGCAGAGTCGGATAAGTACCTGATGAAATAGCAAAACATCAATGAATGACCGCAATGGCTTTGGTTTTCTCCCTGTTCGCTGAAAAGTGGAAAAGCAGAAGTGAGACAAAAGGAACCCTGCAAAAGCAAAGAAAACTGTTCTTTTCACAACGAAATTTGTGAGGAATAAACTCGCGTGTGGCGGATGAATAATCACGTGTCACTACCTCGTGATCATCCTGCCAGCCATTCTTCAATCACTGAGGAATCCTGATGAGAAACTCCGGTGAAAACTGTCAATCATCAGATAATGGATGACATATCCTCCTGCGCCAAAAAACACGAGCCCACGACAGACATCCGATTAGACCAGAACGACAGAGTAGGACAGCAGCCAGATGGCGAGCGGCGGATGGCACGCATGAGACAGATGGAATTGGGCCCAGGTGCCAGAAGTCAGACCTGGCGCAGATGACACGCACCAGACACAGCGTGGTTTACAAACGTCGAATGACACCAGATTGCGGGGCGCCGGTGTGTCCGCAATGGCGGGTAGGTCGGAGCGGGCTATTCAGGAGGTCAGGGGCCTCCGGGGCTTGAGGTCGCAAAAGGCCGACTCCGCTGACTTTGGCGGCGGCGCGGTTTGTTTAGCGTCCGATGGCGCCGGCCGTCTTCAGGCCACTTACCAGCCGCTTCGTCGAGCGGTGCGCCCCCAGTGTGAGTGGTACGAAAATAGAGGTGTGGTCACAAGCCTCGCGACGACCGAGCTCTCCAGGGACGACATCACGGACCCGAGCTCTCCAGGGACGACATCACGGACCCGAGTTCTCCAGGGACGTCATCACGGATTAAGTGACGACCGGGCTCTCCAGGAACGTCATCACGGATCCAAGCTCTCCAGGGGCGTTATCACGGATGAAGTGACAACCGAGCTCTTCAGGGGCGTGATCACGGACCTAACGACGACCGAGCCCTCCAGGGACGTCATCACGGACTTAGTGACGACCGAGCTCTCCAGGGACGTCATCACGGACTAAGTGACAACCGAGCTCTTCAGGGACGTCTTACGGATCTAGTGACGACCGAGCTTTCCAGGACGCCATCAAGGACCCGAGCTCTCCAGGGACGTCATCACGGACTAAGTGACAACCGAGCTCTTCAGGGACGTCATCACGGACTTAGTGACAGCCGAGCTCTCCAGGGACGTGATGACGGACCAGGCGACGACTGAGCTCTCCAGGGACGTCATCACGGACCCGAGCCCTCCAGGGAAGTCACCACGGACCCAGTGACGACTGAGCTCTTCAGGGACGTCATCACGGACCCGAGCCCTTCAGAGACGTGATCACGGACCTAGTAACGACCGAGCTCTCCAGGGACGCGACCAGTCTACCGATTGTGGAATGATTCGTGGATTGGGTAACGCTGGATCAGAACGCTGCGGAAGTGTGTGGATGGTATGTGCCGCTATGCCGATATATCATACACTGCCTTCTGCTGCATGGGGTCACAGTGTGATGCAATTGATGCGGATCGCTATTGCCGCGGTCTTCAACCTCGGATTGGGCCGTGATATCTTATCTTTATGACCAAATACGGATCAGACGGTGGTGTTCGGTGGTTTTCGATTTGGGAAATTCAGCCGTGAAGAGCTACAGCTGGCGAATAAGGGTACCCCTCAACCCACACCAAATTTTAATGTACTCCTCGGTACTTCCTGAAAAACGACACGGAAAATCCGTTTGCTGTTGACCGTGTGGGAGGTTTCCACCCACCTCGCCCTCGGCGGAGGGCATCCTTCTCAACGGGGAAACGATTCATTGCAAGATGACCTCTGGAAACGTTCACCCGCTGCATCATCATGACCAGCTCCCAAACAGACGACTTCAGGCTCTGGGGTGGAGCGCTGCATGTGGGCAACGAGGAGCAGCGTTGAGCAAGGGAGAAGGCCTTGACTTTGGGACGCCCAGAGTCAACGGAAAGACTAGAATTATGAGTACATAAACTAGACTCATAGACTCTGATCACGTGCATTGCCCAGCGGCAGTAGTATACGGCATGCACATCATGCAGTACACATGTCTATTAATAGTATATTTCTGCCCCCGAAGCTCAATCGGTTGAGGGTCTGCCCCAAGCTCCTCGTAGCGGTGAGGGTTCCGGCCGTTCCAGGCGCTCACTGGCTGCCCCTGAGTGAGCTCGCCTGTGGCAGGTGACAGCGGCTACGTCCAAAGAAGCTGGCCAGAAAAGAGGTTAGAGTCGCTTTGCATCTGCAGTTATTCAAAGGATCCGCTGTCATTGGACGACACAATCAACTGGCCTGTTCAAAACTTGGGTTACCAGTGCACGACAATGTTTAAATATTGGGTCCAGACCTCACCACACGTGAAAAAGGCAGATGCCAAGCTACTGCTTGATGAAATCAGCCATGAAACTTGCGTGCAGCTATCGCCAACAACGAGGTAAATAGTGACAAGAAGTCGTAACCGTTGCTTACAGTGCCACACGTTGCGTGTCTTGGCACTCATCTAAGCGACGTTTCTCACGGTTCAGGCGCCCTGCTCTCCGACCATTCCTGAGAACCGATTTGTATCATCACATGTGCTTCTGTTGGGACGTGGCTCCTCTGGGGGCAGGAAACCACCTCGCCTGTATGCGTCTGGCAGTGATCGTCGGTCGTGAGACAGACGAGACCGCGCCCTCCCCTCCCCGGTCCGATGTCACAGTGACCAGCAGCGAGCCGCCGCCAATTTCTAACTCCGTCATGCACTCGCTGCAGGGCGCCAAATCGGGTCAGACACGTGACCGAGAATTGCGCGCCAATGCGATGTGCTGGCCGTGGCGACACGCTAGTGGAGGGAGCCGTGGCGACCCGGGCCGACCCTGGTGTCACTTGCCGCCGCTGGAGACGGGGCGGGGCGGGTGACAGCCGTGTGACGCCGGGTGAGACCACCCGTGGGATGAACGTCACCTGAGGATCACTGTGCCCGGCAGAACGCCGGTAGATTCGGGGGGGGGGGGGGGGGCGGGAGGCAGCAGAGGTGGGGATGTGCGAGGATATGGGACCTATCGATATGGGACCGAGGATAGGATGTGGTGAAAGGGAGGCGAGGGAACAAATATTTTGGGAAATTTTGAAACGAGGTAGTTTGGTAGGGAATGGAAGCAAAGGAATCAAAATGCAGGCAAAATTAAGTTATTGTTTCCTCAAGAACTTCATTTGCATGATTATGCTTCCGGAATATTTGCGACGTTGATTCATGACATAAGTGTATTATGTCTATTCTTGCAACGGGTTACAACAACGCTTTAAATGGTAAACAACGGCGCAACGAACGCAAAGAACGGGCGTAACGCACATGAAGAACGGGTACAGCGAACGCAAAGAACGGGTGTAACGCACATAAGAAGCGGGCGCAAGCGTAAAGAACGAAGAGGTGTCGAATCTCAAGGCCATGTCGACGATTGTGACTATCGATGGATGTCGATGTCGATGAATGGTACAGATGTATACAAAAAACATAAATGTCCGCTATCGATCCTGACGCGACACCAGCTGGCGAAGTCGACGATCTCGTGACTGCCTTACCGAGCTGGTCCTCCGATCTCTGACCTGCGAGCCCCGTTAAATTCTCAGATGTGGGTACCGCAGCCAAGAATGCAGACGCGGATTTTACCTACTCCAGTCGGACTCATGGGCGCGTAGTGGTTCACGCTCTATTGTGTTCTCGTCGCCGTCAGCGCCTTGTGCGGCGCGTGACCGCTGGCTGGTTGGTCGCTGCCCGAACATCGGCTGCGGCCGCGAGCGTGGGAAAGGCAGAATGCTGAACGAGGGTGCCTGAGCGGTTTTTGCGCGAGTTTTTGGACCGCGGCAGTCATGCTGCGAACACATATATGCGACCACAAATGTGTTTGACAAGCGTACTCGTAATGGCAGGGGCAACATTGCAGCATGAAGGGCCGATGGTTCCTCCGTTTCCACTGGTGGGGCCTCCGTGACCCCTGTTGGTTCCTCCGTGACCCATGTTGGTTCTCCGTCCGTGACCCTTGTTGGAGGCCCTCGTGACCCCTGTGGGGACTTCCGTGACCCTTGTTGGCGCCTCCGTGAACCCCCTGCTGGGGCCTCGGTGACCCATGTTGGGGACCTTCGTGACCCCTGTTTGAGGTCTCCGCGACCCTGTTATGGCTTCCGTGGCTCCTGTTGGGGCCTTCCGTGACCCCTGTGGGGCTCCTGTGACCCCTGCTTCCCCTGCTCCCTGGCTGACGCAATTTTCGGCTGCAAGAGTATTTGAAGCATTGTGGTACAGGTCTTGGGTTTATTTTTGGCATACTATTTTTAGGTACATCTCGCTTAGGTGATCCTCGGCAGGGGTACAGAAACTAGGGTCACAGGGGGCTAAGCCTCCCCCCTCCCCAACTTTCTGAGGATTCGGCATTGCTCATATGGACGTTGACTGGAAGACAACAGCCGAAAAGGGCCTTCTCCCATTTCTCCCTGGGCTGGGAAGGGCTTCCTTCCCCCCCATCTTATGTAAGTCTTTGCATTAATTATTAGCGGTGATATGCAGCCCAGTGCTAAAGAACGGACTCCCTGTGTTGACCAGTGCTTTCGCGCATTACATTTGTACCCAGGCCTGACGCACGACCTCTAAAATGACCTCCAAATGACCTCCGAACGACCTTCGGACCTGAGCGACCACCTATGGATGGGCAGGGGCACCGGTCACGAGCGACATGCACCGAGAAAAAACCACGGGGAAAGGGGTGAGTTCATCGCACGAGCCGAGTACGCCACGTGACGCCTACGTGGGAAGCTGGCGGGGAGGCTGTCAGGCGGGAGGCGGGGAGCAGGCGGGCCGGGAGGCGGGGGGCGCCTGTCATCGTGGGCGCGGGTGCGGTGTGGCCGTCAGAAATAGCCGACACGGCCGGAATGTCAGCACGCGACAGGTGACCGCCCCATGACAGCCCGCGGCGACCGCGCGCGCCTCGGCACGGCGCACCCAGCGAGTGCAGTCGGGGAGGACGGGAGACGGTATCTTTCCTTTTCGTTACAAGCAAGGTTAGGGACCAGTCGAGCAGTGCACTGCCATGACGCTGTGATCAATGCAACTTTATGAAAGGCGTTTCTCGATGTACGTCCGAAGTATATATCGTATTTGATTGCGATGATGGCTTGCTTATTTTGCATACAGTGAGATCAACAGCGCTTGATGTGTCTACTGGCGCTACGTGATGAGTACCAGATGTTTTAAGCACGAAGACAGACGCTTTGACTATTGGTTCACGTGTCTGGTTCCGCTGATCCATGGTGCTGACGGAAATGTTCACTTGCCACCATGCCTTGGCTCAAAAAGCATTAAATCCCGAACAGTTTGGTCAAGCTATTCATTTGCGGCCAGGGGGAAACGCGTCGGCAGTCAAATGTCAGCAGCCGAATATTCCACAAGGAAAATTTGACCCCATGACCCCGGTGCTCTTGTCTTCTGACCGAGCCAACGCACAATAGTTCATCCACTACGCGTTCGACGGAGCCCTCTGCACGATGTTTCTCAGCGCTATGGTTTGAACGCTGCGCAAGTAACGCTAGAACAGGGCTTTAATCAGTGTTCTGTCGTTGGTATTCTCATAGGCCCTGCGCTGAAGGAAAACCCTGCCGAAAGTATTGCAGCGTCATGATGTACTTCTGTGCACAAGCGTGATGTGATGTACACCAGTGC